ATTTTTATCAAAAACCAAAAATAAAGAGATAAGTGTACTTTCATATTTGATATCATCTAAAAAATGTTGGGTGGAGATTCTTGGGAAAAAGCCAGAAGATGAATTAGTAACCTCTTAATTTCTTAAAAATATCATTAGCTCGGCATTGTGTTGTATGCCTGTAATCTTAGCCTATAATCCCAGTCTTCAAGAGAACAAGACAGGAAACTAGAATTTGAGGCCAATCTGTGCTACACAGTGGGGCAGCCTGGGCTACATAGTGAGACCTTGCCACAAAAAACAAACAAATAAAAATAAATCATTGACCATATTGTTAATATTGCACATATTTGTTCTTCTCCTGCCATGAGTTTTATCTGAGAGTTAGTCATTTTATAGAAAAATAAAATATGATTGTACCATGATAATAACTCTCTGCTATCTTCATGCACTAATCATACCATGGGGGAAGGAGAAGGAGGAGGTCTGTAGACTTATTTCAGAATAGGCAGCTCTCCCTGGGATTCATTTGCTTCAAACCAATCTTTAAATTTTTAAAAAGTGTTTGTGTGCTTGTGTGTGTGTGTGTGTGTGTGTGTGTGTGTGTGTGAAAAAATGTGTTTTCACAGAGTTGCATTTTCATTATCTACTAAATTAGAAACTTTCTATAATTGGATTAAACCTTATAGTACATCAATGAACATTAGTTAAATATAATTCCATGGTTTTATTCTTTCATATATTTGGCAAAAGTGATATATTTGAAGTTTTATAATCTGTATAATATTGCTTTTATTCAGAATTCATCATTCCATCAGTGTATATTTTATTTTCATTTTAAGCTAAAAACTGTCCTTACTTTTCACCTATATGTCACCAAATTTAAAACATAATCTACTAGAACTGCAAACTAAAATAGCATGTGATCAAAAAGTTTGATGGAGGGTTTGAAAGGACCAAAGCACAGTATTTTCACACTTGGGATATATCAAGAAACACCTTTGAACACAGCTTTAGAATTAAAAATTAAAGTGATGACCGCTAAATATGTACCATGGGGAATTACTTGTGGGAGGGTGGAGAGTGAATGGGGAGAGGAAAGGTGAGGGAATATGATTAGTGGGTTTCATATACATACATGAAATAAAACAATGAACCCTCTTGCAGTTGCTTTAAGTGGAGTTGCAAAGGGGTTTAGGGAGGATGGGGGGGCGGGAATCGAACCAATGGACAATGCAAGGCTATTTGGAATTCCCCCATGCAATAAAGATATGATAATAAAAATGAAAAAAAACCTCTTAAAATGTAAATTTTCTGTTTAATGGATTTTTCTATTAAAAATAAGTATGAGCAAAATATCTGCAATTTTCCTTTATAATTAATTCTCAGTGTCCTCCATGTATACTTCTGAAGTCAGAAGTTAATATCATTATAATATGCTAGATTTGTGTGATTTAAAGAACACACAAGACTAATTTCATCTGTTCATTCACAGAAAGTCACATCTTGGAAGATGTCAACAAGTGTATCATAGCCTTGAGAGATCAGGACGCTGATAATTTAGACCGTGCTGCAGGTGCTATCAGAGGACGTGCAGTGAGAGTTGCTCACGTTGTCACAGGGGAAATGGACAGTTATGAACCCGGGGCTTACACGGAAGGTGTAATGAGAAATGTCAACTTCCTCACAAGTACTGGTGAGTCTCAGTCTCCAATGACAACTGCACTCTTCCTAACATTTGAATCCACACTGCAACCAAATGTTTATATTTATGGAAAGGAGGACGTTTTGACATACACAATGCTGCTATATAATCTGATCAGTGCTTATATCCTATGGTTATATGATTTGAAATCTATTCTAGTGAAGTAAATACATTATTTAGGGAAAAAAGGTCTTTCATAAATATATGCAATATGTAAGCTACCCATAAGCCTTACCCATTTATGAATGTTTATTAATGATAGAGATGTTCTGAGATGTAGTTGGACCACTATGGTATTAAGTACATACTAGTCTCCAGACCCTCTTTTAGCCGAATCATTGACACCCCCAGGCTTTTGTTACTTAAACATAACAAGTTTGTCATGTTTCCAGAGAAATGTTGTCTCCCTTCAACTGCAGTGGTTTGCAAAATGACATTTTGCCCTTGTCCATAATCTTCTTTGATTGCTTAAGAAATATGCAACTAGGATTTTTGGGGGGGTACAGTACCCAAATTACTATTTTCTAAAATCAGCCAGGATATGTTTTGAGTGACTCAGAGAATGACATTTTTCTGTTTAAAAATTATTGTTAACTTTTCTCCGAGAATCTTATAGAAGTGTCAGGATTGATATGAATTCATAAATTCATTATGAATTTATGACAATGTTTTTCTAAAAAAAAAACACTTTCAGTGAATTTGTGAAATGCTCAGGTAGAATTATTTTATTCCCTCTTAAAACTAGAGTGACATTGTATCCATGATCCCTACAGTACTTGAAATTCCAAACTTACATCATCCATCTTAGAGAATCATGTTTTATGTTATGCATAAAGCATATTAAGTTTGGAAGATACACCCATTATTTAGTGAAAAAGGTAGAAGGTACAATGATAGTGATTTAAAAAATATTTACTCTCCTTTTATTTTTGAAATTCTTTCCTGAGGTGAATTAATTTTAAAAAGCTTAACAAGAGTTAAATAACATTCACTAAAGCCTATTTCTGAAGCACCAGGCTTCAAGGCAAACTTAGCAAAGTTTACAGTGAATTGATGACTAGTTTTTTGTATTCCCTAGTATGTTGATACAAAAATTGCTGATGAATCCTGGCACATAGTTTGCTCATTATCTCTTTTTTCCTTTTTTTAAAAATTATTTTTCTACTGGAGTACATTGTGACATTTTTCCAAAGTTTTTACAATATATAGTTGAATTCACCTGCTTCATCGTTCTCCTTTGCTCTCCCTATCGCCATTCCTGGAACAGTTTCAACAGGTTTCATTTTTCAGTTTCATACATGAGCTCATAATTGTTCCACCATACTCTCTTTAAAATATTTTAAAATTAATGAAACATGAAAAATTTGCTAAGTAAAGATGGAGGAGATAGATCTGCAACTCTTGATATTAAACTGATACTCCTATACCTACTCCTCAAAGTCACAAATAGGGCACATAGAAGTTGCTTTTCTAGTTAGGTGTGGAAATACATTTCCTTGCTTAGGAACCTGGTTGTATTATGGTCACTCAGTCTGTCTTCCCTATGCTAGGTTGAAGTGGTCCTTTCTTGTTGGTTAAAATAAAGTACAGTGTTACCTGTATCAATAATTTTTTCTATCTTTTGGGAACAGAATTTTAAATAAAAGAAGAATGTATCAAAGCATTCTCTTTTTAGCTAAATGACAATTTCCTGTGGGGAACTGACTAGTTACAGTCTACCAGGGATACTATATTTTGCCCCTATATCCCCTTTTTGGAATCATCTCAGTAAAGTCTTATGGTATGCTCTTTGTGATCATATTATCCATATGATGTGCCAAGTTTTCAGTTTTATACGCCACAGGAAAGAGTTTATATCTGCCATATGCCCAGAAAGAAGCAGAAGAGAAATTCAAAATTGTGTGTTCACACATTGTGTGTTCACAACTAATCTGAAATCAGAAAATTAAAATCAAATAAAATTGTTTACATACTAATTATAAGTTGGTTAATACCTCTATAATATGTGATGCCCTTACTTGCTATCTAATCAATCTGGCTACATTATCATAGCCAGAAGAAAAAACAATTCTTTCTAACTAGTGTATATAACTTCAGTTAAAATTCTAAATTAGATATGATCAATTTTGGAGAATGTTCCATGGGCTTCTGAGAAGAATGTATATTGTGCAGAAGTTTGATGAAATAGTCTGTAAACATCAGCTAGGTCCTTTTGATTATGGTGTGATTTAGTTCTAGAATTTCTTTATTGATTTTTTTGTTTGGTTGACCTATCTATTGGTGATAAGGGGGTATTAAAGTCTCCCACTACTACTGTGTTGGAGTCTATATATGCTTTTAGCTCCCTCAGAGTATGTTTGATGAAATTTGGTGTACCAATGTTGGGTGCATATAACTTGATAATTGTAATTTTCCTTTTTATTAGTATGGGGTGTCCTTCTTTATCTCATTTGATCAATGTAAGTTTGAAGTCTACTTTGTCCGAGATAAGTATTGCTACTCCTGCCTGTTTTCGGGGGCCATTGGTATGGTAAATTTTCTTCCAGCCTTTCACCCTAAGCCAGTGTTTCTGTCAATGAGGTCTCCAACCCGCTGTCTGCCCTTCTGCCTTTCCAGCCTTTGTTTGCTGAAAGTTTTCATGGAGATCAGCTCCTTTCTCCTCCCCTCTACTCTGGTGCATTTACAGCATTCCCGCCCCTAGTTTTCAGTTCCTGTTTATTCAGTTTTTTTGTGTGTGGGAGGGGGTCAGTCTGCCAAGGAAGCTATGCTGGTTTATCCCAGGGGTGGCTGGGGAAATACTGTGTGACGTTTGGCACTCACCTGTTTGATATGCCGAATGTCTTCCAAGCAGGTTTGGACCTGGCATCTGGCAGTGTGGAGCCCTCCTGTTTTCTCAGTGTAATGTGGCCTGGAGAAGCTTTGGGCTAGGGGTTCAGGGTATCAAGTTTTGATTCTCCTTGGTGCTTTATTTCCACCAAATGTGGCTCCAGCAACTCAGCAAGATATTTTTATTTATGGAGCTCATTCTGTCTGCTTCTGAGCCCTAGTTGCCATGTTGTATCTTCCTCTCCTGTTTTGTCATTTTAGTTTTTCAGATAATAATTTGCTGTATCCTTGAAGAAAACTCCTGATTTTTAAAATACATCTAAATCAAACTTTTCTCCAAATATCTTACCTTGAATTTTATCAAAAGCATGCCTCACTAAAGGGAATTCTGAGCAATAAATTAGATGAGAAACCTAATTAGATCAGTTCAACCTTAACCAAAGATGAAAAATGTTAGCATTCTCTCTCCCATTGAGATATTGTCTCCGAAAAAAAGAATTTCCAAATCTTCTATCCTCCACAATTAACCAACAGGGGATATTCATCCTTTGTTCACTCCTGCTTCATATTATTTATAAATAATTATCAAATTACATATTTGGAAATGTCATGTTTTGTATTGTAAAGTGTTCAGAGTTCACATTTTAGCATGAAAAACTTACTTATGCAGCCTATTTTTCTCTTTGTTTCTTTTTCTTCTATTTAGTTCTTAGTTCTTAACCCAACTTCCTGGAAAGTAACTTAATGAGGAGCTATTTGAGTTGCTTTCATTCTTGAGACATCCTAATCTTTGCAAAATTTGTGTTAAAGTATTGTCATCAATGATGAAACCTAAGTCATACTTTATCTAAATCACCAAGGGTGTTTTTGGAACATGGCACCTTTGATTTTAATCAGACTTCCTTGACTCATTAGCACATTTTCAAGATTAGATGATCTTCTAAGTGTTTTCTCAGCATTAGGAGATAAAATTGCCCTGTGCATTTCAGGAATTTACGTTGTCCCCACATGCTAGCAGCTGATTTTGAGTGAAATGTAGTCAACATCTGGAGTGCTGCATTTCACTCAGAAGCATAATATTGTAATCTCCATGTGAAACGTTTTTTTTAACCCCATTCTTCCCTGTCACTGAGCTCCCGCACTTACCTGTCAAGGATTCTTGATGTGGATAGAAAATATATTGGCTTTTTTGTTAAATAACAAGTCTAGATTGCAATGTCAAGTTATAATCTTAACATCAACTTTATTTGTTCATATGAGGCTAGGGAAAAATCTAGAGCAGAAGTGTACTGACATAGTATATTTTTGTGTGATTTATGGACTCTATCAAATTCAGGAATTAGCAGGCCCAAAAGCATCTGTTGCAAACCTCCAAATCCCACCTTGTTATACTGTCAGCCAGGCTCATTGTGGAAAACAGAACAGACACATAAATAAAACTGACCAAGTCATTCTGATGGTATCCATTTTTGGCAACTGATATTTATGGGAAATAAAAGCTCATCTATCAAGTACCCGATAAGACCCATACTGCAAAATTCAAACCCAGAATTCTTTCCTTAGAATAGAGAAGAATCAAACAGTTAGAACATTTTTACCTAAAGACAAATGAGCTGTAGATATTTGAGACTGTTTTTGAAATTTTGTTCTATTTTTTTTCTTCAACAAGATAAATCGCAGATAGACTTTGGTAAATTATAATTAAGTTAATAGGCTTGATTGCCTTCATAAGCTTGATCAAACATGCCACTTTCCTCATGCTGCATCTCTGCCCTAAAAGTTTAAATAGTATAGATTAAATAAAGAGGGGCTTTTTTGGTCAAGAAGTGTTTGTCCTCTACAGTCCAGTGGTATTTGAAACTTAGAATTCTACATTGTAGTTATGACTCAAAGAATTTTTCTATGTCCAGTAAAGTAAAGCAATGTAATTTTCATTGTGAAGTTGGCTGGAGCTTAGGGTATTGTTCTCTTTTGTTAAGCCTGGAACACAGTCTCCACCACACCATAGTTCCTTCTTTCCCTCTTATTATATACTCATTTTGTCTTTCTAAAATTCACACAAAATATTATTCCTGACTTTTTCTTTCCAGAATGGGGTAAAAGATACCTTCTACTACATCTACGTGAATCACACGGACATGTCAGGATTGATCTTGCCTCTAGAT